GATTTGTTCTTTTGGAATAAAATGCGCTTCACTATAGGCTCAGGTGAGGCAGGAGGACAAAGCTAGTGAGAAAATGAGATTCATTTTGGACTGATGAGAGAGGGAGAGAGGCCAATTGTGTACGTGAGTCAAAGAAAAAGCTGAAGCTGTATTTTGCAGCTGAGCATTTGGGCCAGCCGATCTCTGCCCAGCTGGGCTCTGCTGAGACGAGCCAAGGCTTGTTAGAAACAGAGAAGTCTTTTAAATTGCACATCACCCCCGCAAGGCACCCAAGCAAGTGACAGGAGGTGCTGGCCTTAGGAAATCACATCCCAGGGGAAGGAAATCAGCGCTGTGGGGGTGGGGAAAGGGTCTGGCTGCCTGTTATAAAGAGATACGTATAGAATATGGAGAAACAGGGAGATGCTGAGTGGAGTGTTTCTAGGCAAGAGGCCTGTGTAGTGCATGTACCCATGACATCTAAGGCAGGTCACAGAGAATTCTGTATAACTGATGAGCCCAGAACAGAATCAGCAAAAGGTTTCAGACCATACCTCTTTTTATTTACAATGAACAGGGTTGCTAAGGAATTGGGGAAGCAGGGATAAGAAACAAAACTCCAGGAGACATGAATGACATTTCCCTTTGAGATGCAGATGGGGAGGAAGAGGTGTCTCTTGCTTTATGGACTTTGTCCATGCTGTTCTTTTATCCTGGAATATCCTTTCTCTGCCTTTTCTTCTTCTGGCTCTTTCTCTTTCAATCTCAACTCATTTTCTTCCCCAAGAAGCCTTCCCTGGCTTCATTAATCCCACTGTGTGGGCCCCTGCCATCCAAGCTGGGTGGAGACTTCACCATTGTACTATTTAGGCTAGTCCATTCCACCTCTCCAAAACCAAAATCCAAACTCACAGCCATCAAGTTGATTCCATCTCATAGTTTCTCATTCATAGTGTCCCCCGTTGGGTTTTCAAGGCTGTAAATCTTTACAGAATGGACTGCCCCATCCTTCTGCAGAGTGGCAAGTGGGTTCAAACCACTGACCTTTGGGTTAACAGCCAAATACCTTATACACTACACCACCAGAGTTCCTTCCTTAGGGCCTGTATATTCCCAAGGCCTAGTCCATTATACTTGGAGTCCCTGGGTAGTGCAAATGGTAATGTTCTTGGCTGCTAACCAAAAGTTGGTGGTTCTGGTCTACCCAGAGCCTCCACAGAAGAAAGCACTGGTAATCTACTTTTGAAAAATGAGCTATTGGAGAATCTTATGGAGCACAGTTCTACTCTGACACACATGGGGTCACCATGAGTAAGGAATGGACTTGATAGCAACTTTTTTTTTTTTTTTAAGTTCATTACCTGGTACAAAAATTGAAGATTTTTACCGATTTTGTAGCCTAAAATTGATCAAACATGCAATCAAAATGCATTCATAATTACTGATGATTGGAATGTGAAAGCTGGAAACAAAAAAGGGTCAGTAGTGGTAAAAAATGGCCCCAGCGATAGAAATGATGCTGGAGATCACATGATAGAATTTGCTAAGATTAACAACTTATTCATTGCAAATACCTTTTTTCAACAACATAAATGGCAACAATATACATGGACCTCACTGGATGGAATATACAGGAAACAAATGGACTACATCTGTGGAAAGAGACAATAGAGACCATCAGTTGGTCTTTACAAGTTCAGATTGAAGCTGAAGAAAATTAAAACAAGTCCACAAGAGCTAAAGTATGACCTTAAGTATATCTCACCTGAATTTAGAGACCATATGAAGAATAGATTTGATGTATTAAACACTAATGACCAAAGATCACAGGAGTCGTAGCATGACATAAAGGACATTATACATGAAGAAAACAAAAGATCATTCAAAAAGCAGGGAAGAAAGAAAAGACCAAAATGGATGTCTTGGAAACTTGTTCTTGAGTATGGAGTAGCTAAAGTGAGTGGAATATTTTAAAGGGTGGTTTGAGAAGACAAGTAAACCTGGAGACAAAAAACCAAAAGGGAAGAACATGCTCAGCATTTTTAAAGCTGAAAGAACTGAAGAAAAACCTCAAGCTTCAAGCTATAATATTGAAGGATTCTAACTGGACCAATAAGTAGCATCATGATAAATGGAAAAAAAGATTGAAGTTGTCAAAGATTTCATATTACTTGGTTCCACAACCAACACCAATGGAAGCAGTAGTCAAGACAACAGATGACATATTGCACTGGGCAAATCTGCCACAAAAGACCTCTTTAAAATGCTGAAGAGCAAAAATGTCTCTTTAAAGGCTAAGGTGTGCCTAACCCAAGCCATGATATTTTCAATCACCTCATATGCATGTGAAAGCTGGACAATGAATATGGAAGACTGAAGAAGAATTGATACTTTTGAGTTGTGTTGGCAAGAAATGCTGAAAGTACCATGGACTGCCAGAACTAACAAATCTGTTCTGGCAGAAGTATGGCCGGAATGCTCCTTGGAAGTGAGAATGGCCAGACTTTGTCTGACCTACTTTGGTCATGTATTCCCTAGAGAAGAATATCATACTTGGTAAAGTGGAGGTTCAACAAAAAAGGGGAAGCCCCTCAATAAGATAGATTGATACAGTGGCTGCAAGGATGGGCTCAAGTATAGCAAGGATTGTGAGGCTGGCACAGGACTGGGCAGTGTTTCATTCTGTTGTACATAGGGTCACTATGAGCCAACTTGATGGCACCTAACAACAACAACAACAACATGGGTAAAATATTGAACAACAACCAAAACCAAACTCACTGCCATCAAGTCAGATTTGACTTATAGTGACCCCTCCTTGGGTTTCCGAGGCAGTATCACTATGGAAGTAGATTGCCCAACTTTCCTTCCGAGGAGTGGCTGGTGGGTTTGAATCGCCAGCCTTCTGATAAGCAGTCAAATGTGTTAGGCACTACACCACCAGCAAGCATCAAAAGAAGATGGAAGGAATACACAGGTTCACTGTACCAAAAAGAATTGGTAGCTTATGATCAAGAGCCAATGGTATTGAAGGAAGCAGTCCAAGCTGCACTGATGGTACTGGCAAAAAACAAGGCTCCAGAAATTGAAAGAATACCCAATGAAATGTTGCAACAAATGGATGCAGTACTGGAAATGCTCACTCATTTATGCCAAGAAACCAGGGAAAAAAGCTATTTGGTCAATTGAGTTTTCCACTGTGCTTTTGAAGGGAAAATGCTCTATGGAACAGTTAATATACTGCGTTCTGTCTTTTGAGCCATAGTGAGCCATATTTATGCCCATTTCCAAGAAAGGTGATGCAACAGAATGTGGAGATTATTGAACAATATCATTAATATCACACACAAGTAAAATTTTGCTGAAGACAATTCAAAAAAGGTTGTAGCAGTACATCAATAGGGAACTGCCAGGAATTCGTGCCAGATTCAGAAGAAGACATGAAACAGGGATATCATTGCTGATGTTAGATGGATCTTAGCTGAAAACAGAGAATACTAGAAAGATGTCTTCTATGTGTGTTTTATTGACTATGCAAAGGTATTCAACTGTGTGGATTGTAACAAATTATGGACAACATTGAGAAGAATGGGAATTCCAGAACACTTAATTGTGCTCAAGAGGAACTTGTGCATAGACAAAGAGGCAGTCAGTCATTAGAACAGAACAATGGGCTTAAGAACAGGAAAAGTGTGCATCAAGCTGTATCCTTTCAGTATACTTATTCAATCTATATATTGAGCAAATAATCCAAGAAGCTGGACTATTTGAGGAAGAATGTGCCATCAGGATTGGAGGAAGACTCATTAACAAACTGAAATATGCAATATGCAACCTTGTTTGCTGAAAGTGAAGATGATTTGAAGCACTTACTGATGAAGATCAAAGACAACAGTCTTCAGTCTTCAGTATGTTATACCTTAACATAAAGAAAACAAAAATCCTCACAATTGAACCAATAAGTAACATCGTGATAAATGGAGAAAAAGTTGAAGTTGTCAAGGATTTCATTTTACTTGGATCCACAATCAACACCCATGGAAGCAGCAACCAAGAAATCAAATGATGTATTACATTGGGCAAATTTACAGCAAATGACCTCTTTAAAGTGTTAAAAATAAAAATAAACAAAGATGTCACTTTGAGGACTAAGGTGTGCCTGACTCAAGCTATGGTAATTTCAATCACAATTTTCAATCGCAAAAGCTGGAAATGAATAAGGAAGATGACGGAAGAATCGACGTCTCTGAATTATGGCAGTAGTGGAGAATACTGAATATATCATGGACTGTCAGAAGAATAAACATATCTGTCTTGGAAGAAGTACAGCCAAAATTCTCCTTAGAAGCAAAGATGCTGGGAGTTTGTCTCATGTATTTGAACAAGTTATCAGGAGGAATCAGTCCCTGGAGAAGCACATCATGCTTGGTAAAGATGAAAAAGAGGAAAACACTCAACAAGATGGATTGACATAGTAGGTGCAACAATGCACTCACACATAGCAGTGATTGTGAGGATGGCATAGGACCAAGTGGTGTTTCTTTGTGTTGTACAAAAAGGTCATGATGAGTCAGAACCAACTCAAAACCACCTAACAACAAAAACCATTTAGTGTTATCCATGTTCTTCCAACTTCTCTAAAACACAGCATAATTTATAGACTGACCTAGAGATCCCAACGATCTTTAAAAGACCGTATTTTCCCACAACTACTGTATGATCCACTGGAGAAAGTCACCCCTTTGTAGTGGTGTGCTGGTAGGTGTCGAATAGCCAGCCCTCCAGAGGTGAAAACAAGATTTTAGCACTGGCCTATTTCAAAGATGTAAATACTCCCACCATGATTGATTTCAAACTGCCAAGGTCAAGTCATTAATGGTAAAGCTGGGAACAGATGTTCATAATTGACTCTTGCAAGCTGGTACAAGCCACCTCCAGCACACCATTGACCCTAAGAAATGTGCTAACACCCACCCTGATCTCTCCTGGCCACAGGCTTGAGATGGACACTCTGTACCTACCTCTCTCAAATGAATTTTTTATGTCATTGACTTCCACCTGAGATCCTGGCACTCTGAAGATCCCCTGCTGCTGGAGTCCTAAAAAATAAACACAAAATGTCATGAGGCCTTGAGCTCATCAGATCACTAGAATAACTGTGACTCTCCCCACTGCTTTTGTCTTTCTCTCTCCATCTTTTATGAGAGAGGTATTCCCAATGAAGGTCTCTTGGCTGAAGCCCATGCTGATGCCATTTACTGTGAAATATAGTTGGCCAAAATACTCAGACATACCCTGTCTTCATATACTTATGACCACCTGTCCAGGCTTGGAGGAAAAGGCCATGAGAAATTTATATTAATACTGGACTGCCAGATCAAACGCAAATAGTAACCAACTGCCAAATTCAACTCATGCAAATACCGGCTTGGTGCACCATGCTACTGAATTCCAGCCATTCTTTATCCCTAATTTTCTTCAATAGCATCATCACTCCCTGAAATTGTATTACTCATTTCTCTGCTTGTTTATTTCCTATTCCTTCTAATTGAAAATGCACGCGACCTAGGGCAAGCATCTTAGTTGTCTTGTTCACACTTGTATCCCTAGTGTCTAAACAGTGCCTATCATGTATTCAGTAAGTGATTTTTGGAAGAATGAATAAATGGATAGGTGGAAGTATAAATTAGGTGTCAGGGATTCCATGGTTAGCACGTCGCAGATGCTGTAGTTCCTTCATTGGAATTTACAATCTAGTAGATTTGATGGATTTATTAGCTACATTCTGTGCTAAGAATGCAGAGCTCTGAGGTAGAATGGGAGTGAAGAAGGACCTAAAATGGTTCTCCTGTCTATTCCTTCCTTGTGCCTCAGTTGTCCTAGTTTCTGGGCCTCTCACCACCACCTTCCATCCCCCTGACACACAAAAGACAGAACACAATACATCAACTGTTCCACAGAGCATGTTCCCCCTCAGAAGCAGAGCCATGACAGAAAATTTCCCTAGGTGAATCAGAATCTCACTTTCTGTCTGAGTGGCCTAGTTCTGGAGGGAATTGAAAACACTGATCTCCCAGGATCAAGCTTACCATATAAGTTGATGTATCGAATGCAGCTCTCAACTACAAGTGGTATAGCTTGTCCTGAGTCCTTAAGGAAGAAAAAAAAAATTGTGAGTTTTATTGAGCCTGGAAACCACTACAGAAAAAAGACATTTCAAACATAGATAATAAATGTAAGCCAGAATATTAGTACCATCATGTTAGTAGGAAAACAAGCAAGGAACTGCTAATCCTAAAGTTTCCATGAACAATTAAAACAGAAAGTCATCAGTTATGTGCAGAAAAAGGTATAGCTATGATAATTTTCATGAAATGCTCTGCCTTGTTGCCCAGCTGGGAAGGATCTGGAGTCAGGAGGCTTGTCAGACAGACCTGGGGCAGAGGAGAAGGGACCCATCATATGGTGGGGTTTCCTTGGTTTTTTTGGAGGGGGCTGGAGTCTGATCTTTAAGAAAACTCAGTCTCTCACTCCACTTCACCCAGCTCAAGACTATTTCAGGGATCAGGGATAAAAAAGACAGAATCAAGGCCTCATCTTATTACTACAGTACTAATGCCAGACTTAAGAAGAACACACCATGGGGGAACCAAGGCTGGCCTCAGGGGGTTCCTTTGAGCTCTAAGAAGGGAAGACCTCTACTTGATGTCATAACTCAAGCCTCCAGGTGGTTACTCTGGTGTAACAATAAACATGTTACAAGGAAAAGTTCGAGAATCAGTTATGTCGGCCATTGATCATCTAGTGCTCAACATTAGTCAAGAATGCTGACTAACATGCAATTCTAAACATATCCACCAGGGGTGGGAATGTGTTTTTAATTGTATCTGCTTAGACTCTCTGGTGGTGTAGTGGATAAGGCATTTGGCTGCTAACCAGAAGGTCAGCGGTACAAACCCACCAGCCCACTCAGTGGAAAGAAGATGGGGCAATCTACTTCCATAAAGAATGACAGCCTTAGAAATCCAATGGGGTTCACTATGAGTTGGAATCAACTTGATGGCAGTGAGCTTAGACTCTATCACACATAGGGTCTCTCAATGGTCCCTGAAACAACAACAGATTGGCCTACAACCACACAAGGCTGGGCAAGGGGTGTTTTTCTTTTGGATTCTATGCTATTTTTAGTCTCTGAAGAGAGCATAAAATGTTTTTTAAGGTTTCTAAAAAAGGGACCAAAACAATGACTAGCCCAATGAGGCATATGTAATATGCTCTAGAAAAGAGACAGAGAAAACCATGAATTTGGATGTTTTCTTAGCTCCTTCACACCCTACCTTTGAATTCTTTCCTTGATTAACTATGGCCAGGGACAGGATGAGAATATGGACCCATTTGGCAACAGGCAAGGTGGGCTGTGTTCTGGAAATCAGTACTAAAGACAGGTTCCATCCAGCTGAATGGGGCTAATGGGCCTTTCTAGTAAATACCTGGTTCCTGGTTCGAGCATTTCTTCTTCCTCTGATAACAAAAAATAAACAGGCAGCAGAGCAGGAGAAAAAGAAAAGATTATGCAGGAATAAGATCAGTTAGAGTAAGCAGATCCTTCAGAGTCCGTGAACGCTGAAATGCAATGGCAGCCAGCAAAGGTCCTGAAGAGTCCATCAAATAGCCTGCCTACAGGGAGGGCCACTCCAGCCTCAGTGACTGACTCATTCATGGGTGATCTGGACCTGCCTGAAGCCAGCCTTCCAATATGGATGCCTTGGCCTCCTTTCCAGGACACCAGGGGACCCATGGGTCTCTTTCTGTCCTTGTCAAGTGCAGGAAATGTACACACTGAATCCCTTCTTCATCCCATCTCTAGCTACTCTTCAACACATGGGGCTGTTTATGGACAAGAACCTACCTAAGAGCCCTTAATAAAAGCCCAGCTTTCCACAACAAGCAGGGAAATACACCTGTCTGTGTCTGTCTCCATTTTCTAGGATGGGAGCACCATTTGCTTTCCTCACCCCATGTGGGTGGAGGCTCTGGAATGGGTACTATGTCTCATCCAGGCCCCCGAGGTAGTCAAGCTAAGAAACTGGAGGATATGTGCTCTCTAGCTATGTCATCTGCTCAGTTCCTGCCACCTCAATAACTGGAATTATCTGTTGACTGACACGTTAGCTAATCCTACCTGAATCTTAGAATTGAGACAATAGCTTCGTCAAATGGACCTCTGTGAAAAAGCTAAAGGCTATCTCTAAAAGTTAATGAAAATAGCAATGATAGCCAATATTTTCATGGCACTTGATGTGCCAGACAGTGCTCTAGAAACCTAGCTTATATTAACTCCCTTAATCCTCCTAACAAACTCAGGAGGTAGGTAATTATTCTTGTTTTATAGAAACAAGGTTAGGATTCTTTCCTTTCCCCAGAATTCCACCTCCTAGGCTTCAAAATTTATTTGTATAATACAAATTGGTTTTCCTTCTGTCTCAGAGGAGAAAAAAAGTAAGGATTTTGGAAGGAGTCCACTCATTGTAGGGTCCTAGGAGTTAAAAATTTATCCATCATTATTAACTTGGGGTGCTTCCCTGTTTCTCTTGGCCATGATAATCATGGAGCTCCAAGGATGTCATTTTATGAAAAAACTTTGCACAGGTGTGGCATTTCAAAGCTGGGGACTCTTAGTTCACACAGGACGGCCTTCCATTCAGCATGTGAATCATCAGGGAAAACTAAATTCCAGTCACAGTAGTTGAAGGTTTGAGTATATGTTATTGCCTTTTTTGTTCTCTGAAAGCCAATGATCCTTGAGAGCAAGAATCATGCTGTGTGCAGTTGTCACTCACTGCCCAGCTTACAGTAGGTGTGCAGGATGAGTTTGTTGAGCTGTACTGCTAGGATGTGGTGTAAGTACAGTGTGATTACACCATACTCTCTCCTCACTTACTGTCTATCTCATTATCTGACATTTCATGTTTACAATAGTAAAAAAAAAAAAGATCTACTAACCAATTATTTTGAGCATTAACAATATATGTCTAGCAATAATGAACACTAAGGTGTGAGTCAAAAATAATGCTGGCTGTGATGGTTAAGGTTATGTGTCAAATTGGTTAGATCATGACTTGCAGAGGTTTGGTAGTTAAGTAATGATGTCATATGGCAGTTACGTAATGATGTAACTATCTTTCATTTTTTGATCTGATGTGATCATCCTCCATTTTCACATAATGCCAATTCTCACATAAAGACCTGGTCTTTGGAACCTAACTATGCTGACAAGTGAGGAAGGATATAAGGAAATCCAATAATATCACAAATATACCATATTTTTCTCAGCCAAATGAGTATAATTCCTGTAAGCAGTATCCTTAGGAGGTTGTGCACTTATTCCAATAATGCTGCCATGTTCAGAGGGTCAACTGACCAGTCCCACTGTGGCATATTCCTCTTGCTGTTTTGTGCCTCCATGGCTCTACAAAGTGGAGCCTTGCATGACCTTTATATTTCAATAGGCTAAGGCATCGATTCTAATGTGAAGCATTGGTGCCACTGATAATGACACCCTGCTACAGATTCTAAAGAAGACTTAGCAAAGCAGTTGTACCAATGGAGTAAACATATGACTGAATAAGCTCCTGTCAGGAGGAACAAAGTCAAATCACTTTGTAGTCACACATTATTTGTAATTTCTCCCTATTAAGAGAATATTTAAATGGAACATCCAGTTATCAAATATTGTCAGGTAAGGGTCAGTTGCTTCCTCACTGATCACTCATTTCCATGGAACTGAGCCAATGAGGGAAGGTGTCCTTGTCTCTGAGCCTTCATTCAGGCCATTCATCCTTCAGGAATTTCTTCTGTCCTTTTCTTTTCCTCTTTTTTTTTTTTTCCCTTCCCTTCCTTTAAAACCCCTTGAGAAGGCTCCTGTTCTCCCATTCTCAAGAGCTCTTCTTGCTCTGAATTCTTAACAGAACTTGTTTTGTGTAGATAATTCACTAAGTGCATGTCCTGAATCACCTTACATTCTCAGATTTCTGTGCTTAAAACCTCCCAAGCTGTGCTGTAAGTTCATTGAGGACAGGAGAGTAACTAATATGACTTCCCAATCTGATCTAAGCTATGGAGAGTGGCTTTCTTGGGGACAAGGGTGAATGAGAAGACAGTCTTGGAGGAGAGAGAGGGAGGATGAAGAAAGAGAGGACTCTTTTGACATAACCCCGTTCATCCATGACCTATCAGATTGTAAACTGTGCCCCTTAGGTTACCTGCAGACATTGCCTCTTTCCTGATACACCTAGTGGCCCCTCCTTGGGATCCTCCTCCAAGCTTCATACTTCTTGAAGTTCCCTGCCTCAGGCAATCCCAACTTGCATCCTCTTGTTTCACCTTCTCTTTCCCCTCCTTTCCCTTTCCAATACTTAGCCCACTGGCAGAAACAGTCCTGGGACAGAGGTTGGTCCTAAGGCAGATCCAAACTTCCCCTGAAAGTCAAGGGCTGAACTCTGTCTGAGGAGCTGAAGCAGGAGCTGCCACCACTATTCCCAAGTCATCAGCAAATCCCAAAAGCCTTTACATCTCTCCTGATAGATCCATCTTGTTTTCTTCAGGAAGCATCTTCAATAGGTGGTGGTGGGCTCTCAAATAACTGGCCGGGATTTTCCTTCCTTGTTCCTCCAAGTCATGTTAATACAGCATCTTCTTTCCTCACATTCCTTCCTCACCTAATATCCTTTTCAACTCCATTACCATCTCACTTTGCTTAAGCTGTTGTATCTGGGATGACTTTATTTTGTACCCTTAGCATCAAGAAACAAAGAAACTCAACTAGATGAAGCTCTTTAATTTTTACTTTAAAGTTGTAAAAAGTTAATCTGGAATTCTAAAGGGACTACTTCAACTCTTCTCCCTTCTCTGAAACTACCTAACAAAAAGAAAAACTAGGTGGGTGGGAGGGTGTTTTCCTAGTAAGAATGTTATGTGTTTCCTTTGCTGGTGTACTCTTAA